GCCCAGAGAGGTCAAGGACTTTGCTCAGGGTCACACAGCAGGTCAGGGAAGAGCAGGGCCTAGACCTGGGGCTCCATGCCTCCCGCTCTGGAGCCTTCCCCTACTGCAACCCCCAGCCCACTCTTGGCTTACCTCCAAAACCCACATTCCTGAGGAGTGTTTCTGCTCCCAGTGCATTCCCTCCTGGGCCAGCAGCTGCCCTCTGCCTGCCCTGTGGTGGGTGCCCGGCTGGCCTAGCCCTGCCCTCTGCTGGCAGGCACCAAACCACAGCCTCAGACAAGGAAATTCTCCACAGACCCAGTCTCCTGGCGGAGCTCGGAGACTCAGGGGCGGCCCTTGAGTCAACTTCCAACCCAGAAAACAGGCAGCAGCAGACAGAGGGGACATAAGGAGGACCCCTGGCTAGGAAACCACTGAGTAAGGCCAGACTAGTTGTGCCTCTCTCTGGGCCTCAGTTGCTATCTGTCCAATGGGATAATTAATCAGAGCTGTGCCTTCTGCTGTTCGGAGGTGAGTCTGAATGGAGGGCACTTGGTCAGGCTGTGAGGAGCACGGGAGCATCACCATGCTGTTCTATGCAGCATCCTGTCCCTCTGAGGCCCAGAGAGGTCAAGCAACCTGCCCAAGTCACATAGCCAGTTGGCAAGCAGGTTTACCTTCTTCCCCAAGCTTCCGCCTAAACACCCCCCTCCCTCCCCTCCCCTGTGGCCTCCAGGAGGGGAGGTAGCTTTGTCCCTCTGGACTTCAGGGCTTTCATCAACCCTGAAAGCTAGGAACTGGGATGGATAAATATTTACAGAGCTCTCCTGGCTCTGCTGACAGCAACCTAGGGATAAACACACCAGAGGTAACCCCAAATGCTCCCTGTGTGTCTGCAGAGTGACAGACAACAGCTCAGCTCAGACGCCACCCTATGCTGGCTCCCAGCCCCAGCGCTGACCCTGCACAAGCATCAAAGTGGCAGCTCCAGGTGACAGAGTATCTCCAGTGTGCCTGGCATCACCTCCTTTCATCCTCAGTGCCCAGCAGGTACTGTCACCCCCTCTCACCCCCCATTGCAGATGGAGTGGGTGAGTTCTGAGGCATAAGAAGGCTCACTCAGGTCACATGGTTCAAACACAGATCTCTCCAAATCCCACACCTGTGGGGTCAACAGCTACCCAGGGTGATTGATTCCTTACTCGGTCCCAGGTTCTAGGGGACCAAGAGGGGCTGGGAAGAAGCAGGGCCTCCAGACTAAGGTGATCCCCACGCCATACACTCTACCCCACCCATCCCAACCCCTCCTGCTTGCATAGCCAGCAGAGGATGAGGCTGGCCAGGGCAGAGCCGGTGTGTCTGGACAGAGGGCCCCAGCCTGGCCAGGCCTCCCTCTTCACCACACCAGTTCCAGGACTCCAGCCTGTCACCCCCTCCTGCTCCCATGCCTACCTGAGCTGGCTGGACACCTTGGCTGCAGGGCAGAGTGGCCCAGGCACCAGGCCCTGCCTGGTCACCCCTGTGACTGGTGCTCTGAAGCCCAGCTCAAGGGAAGGTGCAGCCTTTGGAACACACACAGTCTGTCACACATACCCGGTGACAGTCCCTCCTTTCCTCACTCTGTCCTCTCTCTTACCTGGACTTTCTTCTCCACTTTGGAGCACACACTTCGGACAATGTGTGCTCTTTCCATTTCTCTCCCCACCCTTTTGCCCTCTGAGGGTCTCAGCCACCCACTCTCAGCTCCCCCTTCTCTCTGACGCCCACCTCTTGGTCACACACGCTGCACTCATACCGTCTCATACTCGTGCTGTCCTGGCTCCGAGCCTCCCAAACTTCCTGCCGGCAGGTGCACAGGGGGCAGCATCTCCTGCAGGCTCAGACCCTATTCCCCCAGCGCAGCACTACCCTCCCTGGCGCTTCCTTTATCCCCTGTCCCACTGTGCACCTGGAGGTGCGCTCACTTCGGCCACACACCTGCTGGCTGACACCCGCCTGGGACCTGCTCCGCTTTGTCCCTGCGATGAATAGGGGGCTCCCGTAACCACTTCCTCTGCTACCTCGCCCAACATGCACCCGGCATCCGCGACTGGGGCGCGAGGGGCAGGTCCCTGCGCTTGGAGGGGGCGTGAGTCCAGTGTGGAGTTCTGCTCACCAGTCCCAGCCATCCCGGCGCGGGCTCTCTTTGCACACTTCCAGGGACAGGAAGCTCACTATCTATCACACCCACAAGGAACCAGAAGGCGTTTCTGGTACCGGCCGCATCAGGCCACCCAGGGCGCCCTCGTGGGTCCGGATCGGCCGCTGCGCCCAGCCCGCGTGCCCGGCGCCCCCTCGGCGAGGAGCGGCCGGCGGGCACTCACCGGCGGCCAGGCCCGGCCCAACAGCGGCGGCGGCAGGAGCAGCGGCAGCAGCAGCAGCGGGAGCAGAAGGGCGCGTGGGGCCGCGCCGCGGAGCCCGGCGGCCCGAGCCATCCGCCCCGGGGCTGCTGGGCCTGCTGGGCCGCGCCGGGCCGCCGCCCCTTATAGCCTCCGCCCCGCCCCCGGCCCCGCCCCCCGCCGCCTTTTGTTCTAAACTCTCCCAGCGGCCAGGGCCGGGGTGGGGGAGGTGGACGGGGAGGGGCTGGCCCGCTGGGTCGGGCCGGAGACAGGGTCCTGTCCCCGGGTGGGCCAAGCTGCTGTCCTCGCAGGCCGGATGCTCGGTGACCCTGGCCAGCCGGGGCCACTCTGGGCCTCAGTTTCCCTGCTGTGTGGTGGACATCCAAAGCCTTAAACCTGGTGAGTCTAAGAGGAGTCGGGTTTCATTCCTCTCAATCCCTACCCCCTCCTTCGGAAGGCGCATCCCGCTGGGTCTCCTTGGTGGCCTGACCTCTGACCTTCTGCTAGCCTGTGACAGGTGGCCCTATCCTCTGGCAAGTTCCCCCACCCCTCAGAACCTCATCTGGAAGATGGTACAATAGCCCCAATGAGGAAAGCGATATTAAAATATGCCCCAGGAGAAACTGAGGCACTTTGCAGGGGCTGGCCAGCTGCACAGCTTGGAACACAATCACAGACAATGTATAGATGGGGAAACTGAGGCTCCAAGAGGGAGAGGCCAGCCTTTTCCATGTCAGCAGGCAAGTGGAGGGGTCAGAAGGCCCTCCAGCTGGTCAGGGAGGGAAGGGTGCTGTCAGAAGGCTGTGGAGGGTATCCGAGTGGGGCACTGGGGGCCCAAAGTGTCCCCTGGTCAGGGCAAGCCAGCTGAGACAGGAGGGAGAGGTGAGTGTGGAAGAGGGTAGTGTCCACATTCTGGAAAGGATTCTCCAGTCTCATTCCTAATTTGCAGGGGGTACCCAATCCTGCTGTCCACCCCCTGCAATGATGGGCCTCACCTCCTCCCTGGGAAATCTGCTGCATAACGGGCAGCCCTACACAGCCAAGAGCCAGGCTGCGGCTCCCATCGGGTTGGCAGGGCCCTGAGCTGCTGGCTGCTCTAAGGGGAGGCTGTGGGCAGGCAGCCTGGGCCAAGGAAGGGAAGGGAGTGCTTCACAGCTTCTGGGAGAAGACTCCACAGGGACTCCTAGAGGGCAAGGAGAGGCAGGACAGCAGTGATTTTTTCTTTTTTTTTTTTTTAGGAGACAGGGTCTAGCTCTGTCACCCAGGCTAGAGGACAGTGGCATCATCATAGCTCACTGCAACCTCAAACTCCTGGGCTCAAGCAATCCTCCTGCCTCAGCCTCC